CACATCCCTGCGACAGTCGCAAATGCGAACTTTGGATTTTTGCAAAAGCGATCATATGATCGCAAATTCTATCACTGCTGATCTCAGGTCCCCTACGCAATTGCGAACACGGGTCTCACAAATGTGACTCTAACAGGCTAGGCGATACATCGCAAATGCGACTACCAACCTCTCATTTGCAAAGCCTGCAACACCAGCTCACACCAGCTACTCTAACACTCTCCAAAACACTCTGAAACGCGTCTGAAACTCACCAGAGCCCTTGAGGCTCCAACCAAACATCAACACAAGTCTATATACATCATACGAACTTGCTCGCCAGATAAGAATACCAAAATAACACCTAGAACTTTGGATCGGACATCAAAATGTATGAGATTTTTAAAGAAACTTAAGAACTTTCAAATTTACAACCGGACATCTTAATCACATCAAATCAACTCTATTTTGCACCAAATTTTGGAGACAGGTCATAAATAGGGAAATACACTTATTCAAATTTCTGGAACTGAAATTCGAACCCTGTAGAAACAAAGTCAACCTATGGTCAAACTTAAAAATTCTTTAAGCCTTCAAATTACTAGTTTTCAACAAATCACGTTAAATCAAGTAAGGGACTTCCTAATTTGATTCCGGGCATACGCCCAAGTCCCAAATCACAATACAAACCCACCGGGACCATCAAAACGCAGATTCGGGTCCGTTTACACAATTTGTTGATCGTAGTAAACTAAAATCATTTTAAAGGCAAAATTCCACATTTTCTTCAATTTTTCACATAAATACTTTCCAAAACAAGAAATGGATTGTGCACGCAAATCGAGAAATACTAAATGGAGCTAGTCAAGGTCTCAAAATGTGGAAATAAAGGCTAAAATGCAAAATGACCTATTAGGTCATCACATTGAAAAATAAAAAATTGAGTTTTGAGAGTCGGTTTGGACTCGAATTTTGAAACTCATCACATATATGAACTCGTGGGGTCATGGGTAGTCGGAATATACTATTGGACCTGGATTATGACCGAACCGTGCCCAGGTTGACTTTTGTTGACTTTTTGAGTAAAGTGTAAGATCTTAGCTTTATCTATTGCAATTGAATTCTCTAGCATTGTTTGATGATATTAAGTCGATTTTGGTTAGATTTGAGCCGTGTGGAGGCGGATTTTAAGGGAAAAGCTATTTTCGATTGTTTATTTGGCTTAGTTGAGATAAGTATCTTGCCTAACTTTGTGTGGGGGAACTACCTTTTAGGATTGGTATTGTTTGATTCAATTGTGCTAAGTGAAGTCCGTGTACGCAAGTTGACAAGTGGGTAAATGGGTTATACATAGTATTTGACCGGTTTGAGCTACTTAGACTATTTCCATGCTTTAATTGAAATGACATATCATGTTCTAATTCTCTTAGTCAATCTATTCTTACTTGTGTGAGTCTATCCTTACATGACATAAATGATTTCGTTAACACTTGTTCTACCTCAAAATTGATAAATTGCTCTCATATTTTAGTTGAACTTGTTGCCTCTTTTATTGTTATATGCTATCTCTTCACTATTGATTATCATTAATTGAAGTTATCATTCATGTTACCTCTTTCATTGTTGATTACCGTTATTTGAATTATACATGTTATCCCTTTCATTGTTGATTTCCATTATTTGAAGTCATTGCCACATGTTATATCTTCCATTATGAGTTATTTTTATTTAACATCGTGGTTATACATTGTCTCTCATTGTTGATTTATTGGTGCTGAAGATGTGAAAGTCGTTATCACGTTGAGGTGAAATTGTTATTGTTGAAACATCTTCCTTTTTGAGCATTTTACATTCATTGTTGATATTCTTGTACCCGTTGTGGTAGAGCAGTGAGCTATTGTTGTGGAAATATTGATATTGTTGATTGTTGGCAAATTGTGATATATAGGAACTTGTGGTGTGAGTTGTTATTGTAATGTGATAGTGACGCGCATGCGGCAATATAAGGCTTGGGGATAATGTGCATGCAGCGGTATAAGGTGGGACTTATGTGTGTGTTGTTTGTAGGGGAACTACATGAAGCCATGTGTCGTCATAAGGTGGGCTAAAGTGCGTGTAGTTATTTTGGGAAAACTATTTTCAAAACCTATTTCAAATGTAAGGCTCACGCGGCGGTATAAGAAAAGATTGTGATTGAGATTGTGTATTGTGAATACGAGGCGGTACTTCAGTGGTGATTCTTATTGTACGTGAGGCAGTACCTCGTTGTGTTATTTTGTTGTTTATCTCATGTTGCAAAGAGCTTTTGGTAGGAATATTCTTGTTGTTTTTCTCTTCTTTGTGCTGGTAGTTGTTGTCTGTATATTATAATTTTGGTTCTCTTCAGTTGCTTCTTTCATGTTATTCCCATGTTTAATTTTCGTTATTAGTTCATGTAGTTATCTTGTTTTGTATATGTTATTTCTTCATTTTCCATTATTTATCCTTGTTACATTTTTGTACTGCTTATTTATATCCTAGTAGGTGTCTTGACCTGGCCTCGTCACTACTCTACTGAGGTTAGGCTTGATACGTACTGGGTACTATTGTGGTGTACTCATACTATGCTTCCGCACATTGTTTTGCAGATCCAGGTACGTCTGCTCATGCCAGTCATTAAAGATCATTTGTTAGCTGCTATACAGAGACTTCAAAGTATGCATGCTCGGCATCCGCAGGCCTCGAAATCACCTTCCCTTTTTACTCTTATTACTGTTGTATTTTCTTTCAAACATTGATGTAGTAGTTTTTCTAGTTTTACTCTATAGAGCTTATGACTCTGCTCCACAGTTCTTGAGGATTGTATGGTTGAGATTCAGTTTCTCAGAAGTTTGTTTGAGTTTATCAGATTGGTTTTTAGTATTTTGTTAATTATTTCTATCAAGTTGTTATTAACTATTAGGTTTACCTAGTCTTAGAGATTAGGTGCCATCACAATATCCTATGGAGGGAAATTGGGGTCGTGATAAGCTGGCATTAGAGCTCTTGGTTCATAGGTGTTACAAGTCATAAGCAGGTTCAGTAGAGTCTTGCAAATTGGTATGGATATGTCTATACTTATCTTCGAGAGGCCACAAAACTGTTAGGAAAACTTCACTTCTTTAATTTCTTATCGTGCGAATTGGTTGACTTCAAAAATTGAATCTTTGACTTTTTATTCCCTCACAGATGGTGAGGACATGCACTGCTAGATCCGACGAACAGACACCCGTGCCCCCTGCTAGAGCTGCGAGAGGTCGAGGCTCAGGCAAAGGCCAAGGAGGGGCACGAGGTGCAGCTAGTTTACTTGCCGAGCTGCAACAGAGGATCCACCAGTAGCTCTAGTTAGGGGACAGGAACCTGAGGTGCCTGTTTCCACGCCTGCGCTAGAGGAGACCCTCGCATAATTCTTGAGTATGTTCAGTACCTTAGCTAAGGCCGGGTTGATCCCACTCGCACCAGTCACATCTCAGGCTGGGGGAGGAGCACGGACTCCCGCAGACCATACCCAGAGCAGCGGGTCCAAGTTGATCAGGTCCCAGCAATTATACTGATATAGCCTGTTATTCCTATTCAGCCCGCGGTTAGAGCAGCAGCATCTGAGGAGGAGGAGCTTAGGCTCGAGAGATTCAAGAAGTATCACCCTTCTACTTTCAGTGGTTTAGCTTCAAAAGATGCACACAGTTTTCTTAAGGGGTGCCACTGTATTCTCCACACTATGGGTATTGTGGAGGTGAGTGGGGTTGCTTTCACTACTTTCCAACTGTTCGAAGCAGCATATCAGTGGTGGTGAGTGTACGAGGAGGGTAGCCCAGCTGAGGCAGCTTCACTTACATGGACTCAGTTTTCAGAGTTATTCTTGAGAGCGTTTGTCCCTCAGACCCTTCGGGATGCATGGTGCGTAGAGTTTGAGCAGCTGCGCCAAGTTATTATGATAGTGTCGGAGTATGTTGTTTGATTCAGTCATTTGTCCACACATGCACCTGCCTTAGTTTCTATATTCAGAGAGCGAGTTTGTCGATTTATTGAGGGGCTCAACTATGGTATTAGCTTTTGCATAGCTCGAGAGTTGGAGACAGATACCTCATATCAACAGGTGGTAGAGATTGCACGGAGGTTAGAGGGTATGTGGGTCCATGAGAGAGATGATAGGGAGGCCAAAAGGCGTCGTGGTATGGGAGGATTTAGCGGTGGTCACACTACTACTATAGCCCGTCATGGTAGAGGATATGTGAGTCATCCAGTTCACTCAGCACTTCCAGCTTCTAGTGATGCTCCGATTGTTTCGAGGTATCAGGTTGCACACTTTGCTTAGCCATTTTCTAGTGCACTTCATGCACAAGGTACCTTCAGCGGTCACTCCAGCCGACTAGGCCAATATAGTCACAGCAGACATGCCCACCGAGAGCTTGCTTTGAGTGTGGTAATACACGCCATATGGTTAGAAACTGCCCCAGACTCAGGATGGGTGCACCTCCACAGGCTACTTAGGCTCCCCGAATTCAGTCAGGTCCATAGACTTCTCAGGCCATAGTTTCTGCCCCAGTTGTCACTATACCTGCACAGCCAGCTAGGGGTGGGAGCGGGCGGGTAGAAGTCGCCCTAGAGGGGGAGGTCAGGCCAGATTCTATGCTTTTCCAGGTAGGACTGAGGCAGTTGATTCAGACTTAGTCATTACAGGTATGGTTCTGGTTTGCCATAGAGATGTATCAGTCTTATTTAATCCAGGATCCACTTATTCATAGGTGTCATCTTACTTTGCTCTATATTTGGATATATCTCGTGATTATTTGAGTTCTCTTGTTTATGTGTCCATGTCTGTGGGAGATTCAATTATTGTGGACCGCGTGTATCGGTCGTGTTTAGTTGTTATTGGTGGTTTTGAGACCAAAGTTGATCTATTGTTACTTAGTTTGGTAGACTTTGATGTTATCTTGGGCATGGACTGGTTGTCGCCCAATCATGCTATTCTAGATTGTCACGCTAAGATAGTGATATTGGCTATGCCAGGTTTGCCACAATTAGAGGGGAGGGGTGCATTAGATTATGTTCCTCGCAGGGTTGTATCATTTCTAAAGGCCCAACAGATGGTTGAGAAGGGGTGTGATACTTATCTAACCTTTGTGAAAGATGTCAGTGCTGATACTCTTACTGTCGAGTTAGTTTCGGTAGTGAGAGACTTCCCAAATATATTTCCAACGGATCTTTCGGGCTTGACGCCCGATAGGGATATCAATTTTGGTATTGACTTGTTGCCGGGCACTCAGCCCATTTCTATCCCACCATATTATATGGCCAGAGTTGAAGGAGCTAAAGGAGCAGTTGTAAGAGTTGCTTGATAAGGGCCTCATTTGGCCTAGTGTGTCGCCATGGGGTACTCCAGTCTTTTTGAAGAAGAAGAAGGATGGTTCTATGCACATATGTATTGATTATCGGCAGTTGAACAAGGTTACAGTGAAGAACATATATCCATTACCATGCATTGATGACCTATTTGATTAGCTATAGGGTGCTAGAGGGTTCTCGAAGATTGATTTGCGGTCAGGTTTTCATCAGCTAAAGATTCGGGATCCGGATATTCCGAAGACTGCCTTCAGGACTCGGTATGGTCACTACATTTTCCTTGTGATATCATTTGGTCTGACCATGAGCCCAAATGACATGAGCAGCACTTGAGGATCATGCGCCATAACTTGAGAGAGAAGAAGTTATATGTAAAATTCTCAAAGTGTGAATTCTAGCTTGATTCGGTGGTGTTTTTGGGTCATTTGGTGTCAAGTGAGGGGATCAAGGTAGATCCGAAGAAGATTGAAGCAGGGAAAAGTTGGCCCAGACAGTCTTCGGCTACTGAAATCCAAAGTTTCCTTGGTTTTTCATCTATAGCTGCACTTATGACCATATTAACCCAGAAGGATGCTCCTTTCAGATGGACCGAGTAGTGTGAGGCGATCTTTCAAAATCTCAAGACTGCTTTGACTACAGTCCCAGTGTTGGTGTTACCTATGTGCTCGGGTTTTATATTGTGTATTCTGATGTGTCATGTGTTGGCCTTGGCGTAATGTTGATGCAAGATGGTAGGGTGATTGCCTACACATCTAGAAAGCTGAAGACTCATGATTAGAATTATCTATTCCACGACTTGGAACCCAATCGAGTACTTGCCTGCATGGTTTCTCGATCTTCTCTATATGACCATATCATAGAGTGTCAGTATGACGACCACTATTTGCTTGTCCTCAAGGATACGGTTCAGCCCGGCGATGCCAAGGAGGTTACTATTGGGGATGACGGTGTGTTACGGATGTAGGGCTGGTTATGTTTGCCCAATGTGGATGGTTTGCATGAGTTGATTCTTCAAGAGGCCCACAGTTTATGGTACTCCATTCATCTGGGTGCCGCTAAGATGTATCAGGACTTGAGGCAGCACTATTGGCGGAGGAGGATGAAGAAAGATGTAGTGGAGTACGTAGCTCGGTGCCTAAATTGTCAGCAGGTGAAGTATGAGTATCCGCGGCCAGGTAGTTTGCTTCAACGACTTGAGATTCCTGAGTGGAAATAGGAACGAATTACCATGGATTTCATTGTTAGACTCCTATGGACTTAGAAGAAATTTTATGCGGTATGGGTGATTATGGATAGGTTGACCAAGTTGGCTTATTTCATTCCGGTAATGACTACCTATTCTTCGGAGAAGCTGGCTCAGGTTTATATCTGTGAGATTGCCGACTTCATGCATACTGATATGGCGATATCCATCATTTCTGATCGGGGGTACGCAGTTCACATCGTATTTATGGAGAGCTGTACAGCGTGAGCTAGGAACACGGGTTGAATTGAGTACAACATTTAACCCTCAGACGGACGGACAGTCCGAGCGCACTATTCAGATATTGGAAGATATGGTTCGTGCCTGCGTTATGGATTTCTGGGGTGCTTGGGATCAGTTCTTGCCACTTGCAGAGTGTAATGACCCGACTGCTCGTTTTTCTTTCTAGATCCATGTTCCCTTAAATAAGACTCCCCGTATGTGCTTTTACTATTTTATAACTGGCGGGGATGATTAGTTCGGGACATGGAAGGGTTCGGATTGAAATCGAAACACTTAGTTCCTTAATTTGGCTTTAAAGGGCTAAGTTTGACTTTGGTCAACATTTCTAGTAAACGACCTTAGAACCAGGATCTGACGGTCCCAATGGGTTCGTATGTCAATTTTGGACTTCGGTGTATATTCGGATTGGGTTTTGGATGACCCAGGAGCGTTTCAGCGCTTAATGTTGAACGTTGGCTGATTGAAGGTTTAAAAGTTCTTTAAATTTGGTTTGGAGTAAGTTTCGGTGTTATCTGGGTTTGTTTGGGATTCCAAGTCTAGAAATAGTTCCGTATAGGGATTTAAGACTTGTACGCAAAATTTGGTGTCATTCTAAGTAGTTTAGGTATGATTCGACGCGTTCGGAGCAAGTTGGAAGAACTTGAAGTTCATAAGTTGCTTCAATTTGGTTTGAGGTGTGATTCTTAGTTTTGCTGTTGTTTTCCACGTTTTGAGGGTTTGAGCAAGTCCGTCTCATGTTTATAAACCTTGTTGGTATGTTTGGACAAGGCCTCAGGGGCCTCAGGTGCAATCTGGATGATGCACGGATCGATTTAGAGCTCAAAAGGGCTGCTGGTGCACCAGTTCTGGTGTGCCCGCACCTGCGAGATTTTGGCCATAGGTGCGAGCCCGCAGATGTGAGCTCTTAGCCGCAGAAGTGGCTTTGGGAAATTGGCTAGTGGTCCGCAGAAGCGGAGAAGCACGCGCAGAAGCGGCCTCGCTTTTGCGATGAGTAACCCGCAGGTGCGAGAGGGGCCGTAAAAGCGGGATCCCGTCCGCAGATGCAAAGCCAGCCAGATTAGGCATTTCCACATAAGAGGACCTTGATCCGCTGAAGCGGTGCCACAGATGCGGCCCTGTGATCGCAGATGCTGAAGTCCTGGAGGCAGAAGGCTTCATGTATTATGGGACTTAAGCCATTTCTAACCTATTTCTCTCACTTTTTGGGCGATTTTGGAGCTTCTTGAGAGGGGTTTTCACCTAGCAATTTGGATGTAAGTAATTTCTATCCTTTGTGGGTTATATACATAGATTATGGGTAGATTTTAACATGTAAATTTGTGAAAATTATGGGTTTAGATGAAAATCCAAGGTTTTGATAAAAATAAAATTTAACCACGAAAATAGTTATGGAATAGGATGAAAATTATATATTTGAGTTTGTAAGGTTATGGGTAACAATTTTCTTCGAACATTTTCGGAATTCGGGCACGTGGGCCCGGGGTGCATTTTAAGAATCTTCCAATTTGGGTTGGGTAATTACTCTAATAGTTAAATCATGAACTTTTGAACATGTATTGACTAAATTATATAACATTTGACTAGTTTCGAGTTGCTTGGCACCGAGTTGAGGCTTTAGGGTGAATTTAAGGCCAGAAAGCGAGCTTTGAGACCCGGTAAACCCATAGGTGATTTAAATTGCTATTTCTTTCTAATTGTAGGGACTACGTATGCACGAGGTGATGAGAGTCCATGCGTAGCTACTAATTATGCTTATATTCGGGTAGTTTAGGACCCAAATCATTAAACACTTATAATGTTTGCACCCTACTTGTTAATTAAAGTGCTTAAATTATATTGGAACTTGATAAAGGAATTGTCAAAGACCGAATTTCACTTACTTTTGTTTTGGCGGGTTACTCGACCATTAATAAGAATTGTTTTTCGTTGTACATTAGCCTTGTATTGGATCTTAAATCGGTTGTTCATAAAGTATTCTCTCTTCTTGTGGAGCGGGCTGAACGCCTCATCAGTAGATAGATGCATCTGGTTCATGTTGTTCGACCCTCGACAGTGTACACATTATTCTGGATCGGGCCATATGACCTCGGCATAATCGTGCGTGATAAGACTCGGAGTTTAATTATATATTTGATATCTTTTCACGGCTTGAGAGGATAATATTATATAAGATAAAAAATAATTTGGGAATTACCATGTATGAAAGAATTATTTACTTCCTGCTTGTTATTGAGTTATTATTATTATTTACATAACCCATGCTTATTTATGACTTCTGTAATTTCTTGATTGCTAGCCCATAGTAAGTGTCGACGTCGACCCCTCGACACTACTTCTTCGAGGTTATACTGGATACTTACTAGGTACATGTTGTTTATGTACTCATGCTACACTTCTGCACTAACCATGCAGGATCTGAGGTAGGTGCATCTGGAGGTCACACCGGCGCACATCCTCGATACGCTAAGGCCTAGTGGTGAGCTACTTCTTGAGCCGTTCTGTAGCTCCTAGAGCCTTTCTTTTGTGCAGTAGTTAGAGTGTTGTATATTCTACTAGTGATCATACACCTGTGAACACTAGGTCTTGGCACACATTCTAGTAGACTTTATGGTTTTGGGGTATTTGTATATCTATGATTGCACTCAGTTACTTTTATTTTATTTATTAAACTTTCTACTCCTTAAATCTCTTAATAAATGGAATTTAATTACTTGGAAACCTATTAAAAAGAGTAATCACGTAGTTAGTTCACTATTGGCTTGCCTAGCGGCGATGTTGGGCGCCATCACGGCCTATAGGAAAAATTGGGTCATGACACTGAGTTTGCCTACAACAACAACTACCAATCTAGTATTCAGACAACCCCTTATGAGGCCCTATATGGGAGATAATGTCGTTCTCCAGTTGGATGGTTTGAGTCGGGAGAGGCTAAGTTATTAGGCACAGATTTGGTTCGAGATGCTTTGGAGAAGGTCAAGATGATCTAGGATCGACTTCGTACAACCCAATCTAGATAGAAGAGTTATGCGGATTGGAAGGTTCGCGACGTTGCATTCATGGTGGGAGAGTGAGTCTTTCTCTGGGTTTCATCCATGAACGGTGTGATGAGGTTCAGAAAGAAGGGAAAGTTGAGCCCTAGGTATATCGGACCTTTTGAGATCTTTGAGAGGATTGGGGAGGTGGCCTACAAGCTTGCTTTGCCATCTAGTTTATCTGCGGCTCATGCGGTATTCCGTGTCTCTATGCTTCGGAAGTACTACAGTGATCCGTCTCATGTTCTAGACTTCAGCACAATCAAATTGGACGAGGATTTGACTTATATTGAGGAACCTGTGGCCATCTCGGACAGACAGGTCCAGAAGTTAAGATCAAAGAGTACTGCTTCGATAAAGGTTCAATAGAGGGGTCATCCGGTTGAGGAGGCAACCTGGGAGACTAAGCATGATATGCGGAGTCGTTATCCTCATAGATTCACCAATTCAGTTATGTCCTAATGCACGTTCGAGGATGAATGTTTGTTTTATGGGGGAGAATGTAACTACCCGATCGTTCGTTTTGTATAATTGTGCCACGTTACCCCTTTTTATGATTCAAACATGTGTGTTTATGATTTTATGACTTACGGTGTTGGTTAGTTTCGCTCCGGGATGCTTTTGGGTTTATTTGGACTCTTGATTCTTGACTTAGAGGTTTTAATTAGAAAATATTGACCAAACTTTGACATTTGTGAAAACGATCCTGGAACTATGTTTTTATGGCTCTGATAACTTTGTATCATGATTTCGGACATGGGCGTATGCCCAGAATTAATTTTGGAAGTCCGTAGGTTGATTTATATTAATTTGCCAAAATTTGGCAATTTAAAGTTGAAAAGTTTGGCCGTAGGTTGACTTTTAGCTATCGAGCTCGGAATTGGATTTTGGGATTTGGAATAGGTCCTTCATGGTAATTAGAACTTTTCTACAAAATTTGGTGTCGTTTGGAGTTGATTTGATAGGATTCGGACGTTTAATTGTAACTTTAGAAATTCTTGAACTTTAATTTGAAATTCATGCGTTTTAGTGTTCGATTTGTAGTTTTAGATGTTATTTTTGTGTTTTGATTGAGTGA